AGTGGGGGAAATAAAATTGTGATTTTTTTAAAACTTTCATGCATCTTGTGATTTGTATGTGTGGTAGTGTAAATTTTATTTAATAATTCTCAGAAGAAAATCTGTTGGTCATCTATTTTTCTTATTCATTATCTTAATCTTCCATTATTTGAATCTTTTATCCACTAAACTAATCAACTTCAGTTTCATATCACCAATAGTTATCCTCATGGAAAAGTAACATGCTATTAGCACTATTTCATTGGATAATGACTCTAATTACTTTCAATACAAAGTTTTCTAAATTTAATAAACATGGAATTTGTATGTAAGATTAATATAGACCAATATGTCTCTTATCTTTCATTCTGTAAAAATACAGAAGAAAATCAAAACACATAATATGAAAATTTTAGTTTTGGAGTCTACAAGAATATGTCTGACTCTCTTAAGAGTTTTGATACTTGCATAAGAATTCAAAAATATATGATATCAGCAAATTGAAATTGGCGTATGCACAAAAAATTGTAAGACTGAAGAAAGCACAATCATGAGACTACATACAGAAAGCGGAATATACTTTTCAAAACTCAAGAAATAATATCAACTGAAGAAACAAGATCACTAAAACCTTCAAAAGGTAACATGTGAAAGTATTCTGATGATACAATGAAATCTAATATTTGGTTAATTAGACTAACATAGCTTTTATCTGTACGTCATGCACTCCTTTGTACTGTTTTGCTAACATACATTCTACACTTTTTTTTCATTATATTAATTTGGAATCTTTTAATACGAGGTCTTCTCTCATCAATTAGTATAATGCCATTAACTAACAACATATATCATGAGATCCGACCTTGAGAATACATAATAAGTTCATCCATTATTTATGCAAAGAGATATAAAATTGTCAGAGAATTTAAAAATGTGGCGATTATCACTATTTTTGGAGTTTGATTTAGAATTGGCTTTAGATATTGTACTAGAGCCTCCAAGCATAGCTCTGAAGACAAATATTGCAGCTTGGGTTATGAAAGTTTTTATCTGTAATAGAAGAAAAATGAGAAAAGATTGTATTTTTTTGTTATTTTCATAATATCAGCGTTTATAATTCAGCTTGTATTTTTTTGTGATTGTCATTATCTATTCGGTAAATTTCATTAAAACCCAATAACTTTCAGAATGCCTTTTTATGTTGTTTTTCTGTTTACATATAACTAACTAAAATATAATATATAACTTAGTTTTAATTAATTATATTTTCCAAACATTTATCTCTGGTGTTAATAATATTTGTAGGGTAACAAAATACATGGAGTTATGTAGGGAGAGACTATCAAAAAGTTTATAGATATGCTTCGAAAGAATCAAATTATTTTCATTTCAAGTGAAAGGAATAAACCCAGCTTTTCCAAGTATCAACAAGTCACTTGAATTAGTATTAATAAAAGACGTATCTATCAAAGAAGCACCAACATGTTTTCACTTGGAAAACATATTGAACAACTTTGTCCCATTTGAAGAAGTATTTTTCATGAAAGATGCTACAAAAATTAGTAAGTACTTATAAATTTCTTACTTTAATATTCAATACAAAATGAGACGTTAATTTATAGAATCATAATTTTTTTTATAAAATTACTTGCAGATATTCTTGCAATAATGACTAACGTGAAGCCGGTGATCAACTATATTACAAAACATAACAAACCAGGCAATAGAAGGAAAATCATGCTAATGGATAAAAGGTATATTCATGATACTTATTTTTAATATCATAAGAAAAAATAAGATTAACATACTTTCTTTTTTCATATACAGTGAAATGACTATGCGCGTAACTTTATTTAGGGATTTGGCTACAAATGAATGATCAATTCTTGAAGCCGAAATCAAAGATAAGCCTGTAACAGCATTATCAGATTTTAAAATCTCTATATACAAAGGTACATAATTTATTACTGAAATTCTTATTAAAGACAGCTGAACATAAAATTTATCCAATAATTATCTTAATTTTGCAGGGGAGACAAGCATATCGTCGCAAATTATATCAACAATATATATCAACCCAAAAATATAACTAGCTAAAGAATTAAGGGAATGGTAAGTAGAACAAGCATACTTTCATATAACGCAATAATAAAATAGTATTATATTTTAATCTAATATGCAGGTTTTATTTGGAAGAAGACGCAAAAACAAAAGGATCTCCATCAATGTTTTTTATAAATGAAAAAGAAATTTAAATTAGTGATATTATGCATATATCATAGAATTCAATACAAGTACAATATTAGAAACCTATTCTTATTAACATATTTAAATCTAACTAAATTTTATCAATATACAGACACGCTATTGTACATTTAAGGCAAAGATAACTACTATTTTGAATAGACTCGGGCCATGGTTCTATACTTGCAAAGGCTACAACAAGAAAGTAGATAAATATGTTATTAAAGAGTGTCTGAATGATAAATGCTGCAGAATCATTGATGGCTCGGTATCAAAGTTAAGTAATATATCTTTTTTTATGGCATGAACATATTAAAATACAATATTAACTATCTCTAGAAATCGAGTTAAGTAATATATCTTTTTTTATGGCATGAACATATTAAAATACAATATTAACTATCTCTAGAAATCGACAATGAAAACTACATTTATGGCATGAACATATTAAAATACAATATTAACTATCTCTAGAAATCGACAATGAAAACTACAGGTACGTAGTTAAGATTATTGTGGAAAATAGCACGGATAATGTAAGAATAATACTATTTGATGCAACAGAAATTCTTATTGGATGCACAACAGAAAAAATCATTACAGAAAAAAGAGGTAATTCCTAACTCTATTCAAGTAATAATTTAAAAATAAAAAAAATTCATATATATTAAAATAACATTTGTTCTCATTAAAACAAAAAAATAACCAGAGTCCATATTTTCAGAAATTTGTGTTGAACATCGTAAAAAACGTTCAAATTCCTGGTGAAGTTAGATGAAAAAACAAAAGATGAACGAGGCAAAGGAATTATAATAGCACAAGAAATCTAACTCCAGCCTGATATTACAATCGACGTAGATGATGAAGATGCTACTCTAGAATTGTCCAGGAAAAGATAAAGGTGGAGAAAAATTGATCTCAGTTCAATTAAAATATGAAATAAAAATAATAAAGGATAATATTTTTTGATCATTTTATATCATATCTTAATTTTTGAGTAGAATTAGGAATTTTTATAACGGATTTTCATACAACATTATTAGTAGTTTTGTATGCTTATGTGATTGCTTTCATCACATAAAAGTATACTATAGTTACCATTATTATTTAGTTTTTGTCTTTTTATTACTGCTTTTGGACAATTATAGGTGTATTTCCCTGTCTTTTCTATAATTGGTATGTTCTGTTCTTCAAATTTCATTGTAAATTTCTGTATGGAATTGTTCTAATCTTACTACTTTTGGATAATTACTTTCTAATTATAAAGTTCTACGATGCGCAATTGTTTAAAATCTTAATGTTTCTTTGAGTTTGTTCTAAATTTGTTTATAAGTTTGCTCTAATCTTACTGCTTTTGGACAATTACTATCTGACTACAATGTTCTGCAATACGCACTTGATTGAAATCTTCATGTTTTTTTGAGTTTCATTATAAATTTCTTTATGGTTTTGCTCAAATCCTGCTTTTCAATAATGCATATTATTGTATAGGTTGATTTTTATTATCTCATGTAAGAAGAGGCATCTCGGAACCATTCCTTGCAATTTATTTTTATATGATTGTTATGGGTTAGTAAAATTGTTTATTATAAAATATGAGCTTATAATGTCCCAATGTGTTGTGCAATTTTATTTTCAATGTAATAAGAAATGTGGTTTCTTTTTATAATGTCCCAATGTGTTGTGCAATTTTATTTTCAATGTAATAAGAAATGTGGTTTCTTTTTTACTAGAACATTAGTTCATAATGATATTGCAATTTTATTTTCAATGTAATAAGAAATGTGGTTTCTTTTTTACTAGAACATTAGTTCATAATGATATTGTTATTCATGCTTGACTCCATATTATATCTTGGGATTAGTAGAGTTTGGAATATGATATAAAGTATTAATTTAATTTATTTTCTTTTACTATTCTACTTGAAGATATTATTATGCCAATTCATATTTTTTTCTTAAGAAATTAATTAAGATGTCCCAATTAAGCTTATAATATCAAAAAATGTTGTGCAATTATATTTTCAATACAATAAGAAATGTGATTTCTTTATTGCTATGATTATAGTTCATAATGACAATTACAATATCCCAGTTAGGTACATTCATCTTAGTTTAGCTTAAAAATCCATTACATTGATTTTTAATAATATTCAATATCCCAGTTAGGTACATTCATCTTAGTTTAGCTTAAAAATCCATTACATTGATTTTTAATAATATTTAAATAAAAATAATAGTAAATCTAATAATTTAATTTTACATATTTGAACTCAAGATAAATCTGTCTTATTTATAGTAACAAAATAAATGTAAAAAATATTTTAATATTTTACCATGTGCACTGCACGTGCATAAAAACTAGTTACCCTTAAAAACATAACACTTTAGCAAGTTAATTTTAACTTCGCTTTGAATGTCAACAGCTCGGTGCGATGTAAGTTGCTTTTTTTTTCTTTTTTTTGGATAATTTGCTTTATTTTTTATTCTAAGCGGTTGGAGCCCTTGTGTATTTTTACACTACATGCGCTGGTCCACCTGGCCCCTTGGATTCTAAATCCAATGTGGCGTTCATTCTTGGGCTCGAGCTAGCCAGTCTAGGCGCCGTTTAAGTCCCAATTCAAAAATCACTCTTTCGCCAAACAGTAACGCTGGTCCAATTCACGCAATTCAAAAACTGCCCCTCTGACTCCGTGGCACCTCGCGGCGCTGCAAGTTCATGGCGAGATTAGCTCCTCGTACGATCAGATCTCCAGCGGCGGCGGACTAGATATGCACGGGAGCGGTCTTTTTAGGATGCCGTTGCTGATCTTTTTCGATTTTTTTGGCGATCTGACGGTTGTGAATTCGAGCATAACAAGCCCGGCCGGTCTCTGTCGCAGCTTGCATCATGGTTTCAAGAAATATGTAATTTTGTTGTTAGGGTTTAAGTTGTGGATATGAGTTAAATCACATCAGAATTTTGTTGTCTCGGTTTGTAGGGATCAAGGGTTGGATAAAGAAAATGAATTTCTTTGCTCTGAATTTTGAGGATTTGTTCTTATCATCATTTGCTGTTTTTGATGATACAGGGGCCCGGAGATTTGATGGGTTGTTTTGTTTAGCCAAGGGCCTGCTTACCCCTGTACGCGGTTGAAGATTGATTTTTCTGTGTCTCATCTTTGGCGTGCAGCTGTAAGTTTTGATCATTACTTTCTTTCAGTTTTTGTTTGTGATTATCATGGACTAAGGTTGGCTATATTTCTATAGATTTAGTAGTATTTTGTTAAAAGCAGCTAGTAGGATGGTTTTTATTTATTAAGGACTTGTTTGGATTTGTACCTACTGAAGGAGGGAGGTTAAGTGAACATAGGATAAGTGAGGACAGTCAAGGGTGTAAAGGGAACCAAAGGGAAATTTTTTTTACCCCGTTTTGGAAGTTTATAAAGTGAAAGGAAGGGAAGTGAAGTAAAATTACATAAATAACATTACGTGTTATTATATTATTTTATTGTTAGAAATTAGATATCTAATATGCATCTATACCTATCTATTATTATTATTATTATCATCACTGTCACTTGTACATTATAGTTGGGAAATATTAAGTAATATCCACTATCAATATAAATCGCATAAATATGAAAAATATTCTAAAATAGTTAGCATGAAAAACAGTAAGGAATATTCACATACCAACATAGAAAGCTTATAACTACATGTTCCTTTCATAATGTGATCACCAATTCCATACAAGTTTTGCTATACGAAACAAAAAATTATATATAGAGCAAGTCTGATTAAATTGCCATAATCAAGATTGGCAAAATCAACTTACAAAAAGAGGGACATAATCCATAATACCAAAGTTTTTCCATAAGCACATGTTTCTAGCAGAATGTGACCACAAAATCCATACCAAGCATTGCCATAAGCAACAAAAAAATAAACAAGTGTGCAATTGCCATAGATAATCAAATTTTGGCAGTATAACTTACAAAAAGAGAGACCCATAATACCAAAGCATCACACCTTCACAAGATAAGTAGATAGTAAGCTAATAACGTAGTGGGGTTGGCATAGATTCTCAAGGTAACATTATCATAAGAAGTTCCTTACTCTCTTCAAATGGACATCCAATCAAAGCCTTTAGATCCTATGGATGCTTAGTTAGGAAAAGATGCGCATTTTTAATTTGATCATGCTCAACATTATGCTCAGGCAAATGTTTCCAAACATTACTTCCTTTCATTGGAGTACATTCAAGAGCTTGTTTGTACTTATTGCCAGTTGATTCAATTGCCTCATCCATCCAGTGCATACCCTTTATCACCTCATGATCAACAATAGAAATGTTGTCCTTCGACTTTCTAGTTTTCTTTTGTGAATTTGTGGTTGACTTGTTCACAGGGGTTACGGGTAATAACATGTTCATCTTTTTTGTTATTTGGGTCCTCATCATTAATCCCATCGAAACTCTCCAATAAAATTTCATTTCTAGAAACCATACCATTGATGTCGTCTATTGTATGAGGATCAAACTCATTAGTTGCACTAAAAGCCCTCCTTTCTCTTTCTCAATTGCAATTTTAGCATGTTCCCCAGTTGCACTATCACCTATAAAAAACACCAATAATTTATCATAATTTTGGATAGACTTAGTCCTCCATTCAGCAACTTCTAGATTAGCTTGGAACAAAATTGCATCTAAAATTAGTTCATCTTTATGTGAAAAAAATAATGAAATAGTCCACATAAATGATGTTTCAATCATGCTGAAACTAATTAGGATGTTGTTTCAGCATGGTTGAAACTCCAATTTTTGAGTTTCACTTTGAAATTAGAGTTTCAGAATTGCTGTAATATGTGGCTTTAAATGCGAGTAATTAAAAAAGATAAGATTATGTAATTTTACTCAATTAGCCTTTCCTAAACCTCTGGCTCTGCACTTCACATGCTCGTGTTTCGTTTCCAAGCAAAACCACTCCCAATAGACTTAAACAAATCATAGCAAATTGCCCATTTTGGTTTCATATTCATACGATTCTTCACTTTTTCCTTGTCAAATGGCTTATTGGGAAAGCAAACTTTGAGTTTGGCCACTATTTCATTATAAGCCGTTAATGTAAAATTGCCATCAACTCAATTTCCCGGTACATGTTGATGCAAGTAAGTATCAATTAGCTTATCTTCCATATTAGGAGTCTATATCCAAGTATTAGCATTCTTTCCCCGAGAATAATCACCTTCCACATTCCTCCTTTTCGACATCCATTAATTCACACAACAATGTTAAAAGGGATTAAAAAATTATGCACAATTCAACTATTGAATATTATAAATGAGAGATGATATGAAGATTACAAAAAATAAACCAACATTCATGGCGCAAAATATAAGATTAAAACGACCTTAGTTTAACAATTGTCAAGTACAAAACAAATGAAGATTACAACCCAAATAGAAAGTACAAATTTGATAAATAACAAGTATAACTAAAACTAATCATCGATGACAAACTAGTAAAGTCGTAAATGTATAACTTCATCTTATTAATTTTAGATATTTATGTAATTTACCCTCTCAAATGTACTCCAGTCTCTCTCGTATCCAGAAGAACTGCTAGTGAGATAAAAAACATTTATTGCTAAGTTTTGCAGAAAGGGATAATCACCGCCATACATATACCACCAACTAGCTGCAAACACATTGCCTCAGTTGAATTCACTGGTGCAAAAAATAACTTATAATTGGTAATTTGATATATTCAATTTATAAACTAAATTTACCTAGGTTGAAGTCCTTTTTCTACCTAGCTTTCATCGCCAAACTTCTATTAAATAAGCCCTTACCCTCTCTATACTTCTCCATGAACTCCTTAGTAGCCTCAGCTCAGTGTTCCTCACCAGGATAGAGCAGGTCCACCATGTCTAGAAACCCTTCCTTCCCCTCCCTAAAGTTCTTAGCAACATCATCTTGAAAAAATATTAA